GGCCACCCCAGGGCCATGGGGGATGGACTAGGGCCCAATCCTGCCCCCATTCCCTGCTCACCAGCCTCCCTCTCTCCTGCAGGTGGGACAGGTCTTCCTCTATTTCCAGTGGTAAGTCACCCCCACCTCATCCCTCCCTTTGGGGGGTCCACCCTGCCTGGGTGGCAAGGGGGGCCACAGCTCTGATGCTCCCACAGGGACAGTCTGCTGCTGGAAGCGGGGTTCCTGGCCGTACTGGTGGCCCCCCTGCGCCTCCTCTCGTGGGGGTCCCCAGCCTGGCGCCCCCACGACAGCATCACCTTCTGGCTCATGCGCTGGCTGCTCTTCCGCCTCATGTTCGCCTCGGGGGTGGTGAAGCTCACCAGCCGCTGCCCCACATGGTGGGGGCTCACAGGTGAGGGGGCGCTGCAGCTGTGGGGCCAGGCAGGGGCACTGCCCTGAACCTCAGGCTCTGCTCCCCATGCCCAAAGACAGCCGCTGTGGGCTCCTCTCCTGTGTTGGCATAGCTTTTTGCTGGCTCTGCCCGATCCATTCTGCATCCATGTGACCCCCATGTTCCCCCCCAACCCCTGCTGTCCCCCCAGCTCTCACCTACCACTACGAGACCCAGTGCATCCCCACGCCAGCTGCGTGGTTTGCGCACCAGCTCCCAGTGTGGTTCCAGAAGTTCAGTGTGGTAGCCACCTACGTCATCGAGGTCGCTGTCCCCGTCCTCTTCTTCGCTCCCATCCGCCGACTCCGGCTCTTCGCCTTCTACAGCCAGGTGGGGGGGCAGAGACAGGTCCAGTCCTGCTCCTTGTAATCCCACGTGCCGTGGGGCTCCCCAGGATGGGGAGCCCAGCTCAGGCCGTGGGCAGAACAGGGCCCCTGTGGGAGCTGGGGTGGCTGGTGGTGATGAGGTGCCTGATGCCCTCTGCCCCCTACCACTGCGACACCCCGACCCTTTGCTGCTCCCCAGGTCCTGCTGCAGATCCTCATTATCCTCACAGGCAACTACAACTTCTTCAACATGCTCACCATCGTCCTGGCTTCCTCCCTGCTGGATGAGGAGCATGTGGGGCGCTCAACAGGGCGCAGCAAGAAGAGGAACACAGGCTGTGAGTCTGGGGTGCCCAGTCTGGGGGTGGGCTCCCGTCTCTGCCCTGTGCCGGTGTGAGCGCAAGGGGTGGTGGATTGGCTGCTGCTGCAGGGATGTGTTTGGCCTCTGTCTGCTGTGGCACTGAGCTACTGTGTCATGCCACAGCCTGGCCCCCCAGCCTCGGGTCCTTCCTGTCCACGCTGCTGGAGCTGAGCACCTACAGCCTCCTGCTCTATTGGAGCATTCAGTACTTCAGCCTGGAGATCAACTGGGACAAGAGGCTGCTGGAGTCCAAAGTGGGTACGTCGCAGCAGGGGCTGCAGGGTCCCGGTGTCCCTGGGGTGGAAGAGGCTCTTCCCTGACCCTCCATGGGTTTTCCTTCGCTCCAGCCTTCACCTACCACGAGTTCACGATGTGGCTGCGGGCGGTGACACTGCCGCTGGTGGGGCTGGCCTTCCTCTCACTGTCCTGGGAGATCCTGGCTGCCATGTACCGGTGCGTGATGGGAGGGGACACTTGGGGCTGCTCTGGGGTCCCTGGGGGTGGGATTGCTGCAGAGAGGGACACTTGGGTATGGGGGAGCTGGGTGGGAAGGCTGGACCTTGGGGCTGTATGAAGTGGGGGCCTTGTCATGGGTGCTGGGAGCATTAGAGGGGGACTAAGCCCAAGCACAACTACAGGCTGGGGGAGACTGGATGGAGCAGCCTGAGGAGAAGGACCTGAGATTCAGGGACCCTTCCAACCCAAATGAGTCTGACACATCTCTCCCCTTTTGCAGCTGTGCCTGTGTCCGTGGCTACTTCTGGAAGCTCTGGGCCATGCTGCAATGGGTCATCTTCACCACCGCGGCCGTGGGGGTATTTGCCATCAGCCTGGTGAGTGCAGGGATGGGGTTTGGGGAGCAGGACGTGGTCTGGGCCCGCTGTGCCATGGTGCTGGAGCCTTTCTCTGCCCCTTCCCAGGTGCCCTTCACCTACATAGAGTTTGAGTCCAACGGGAAGCTGTGGCCCGGCATCCACCAGGCGTTTGGCGCGGTGCAGCGTCTCCAGCTCGTGAACTCCTACGGGCTGTTCCGCAGGATGACGGGCGTCGGGGGGCGACCTGAGGTGGTTTTGGAAGGCAGCTACGATGGGCAGAACTGGACGGTGAGCACTGGTCCCCAGTCACAGGGCCCTTGGGTGGGAAAGGGTCTTCAGGATCATCCAGTCCAACTGTTCCCAGCACTGCCAAGGCCACCACTGCCCCATGGCACTGAGGCCTCGTCTCCACGCTGTGTGAACCCTTGCAGGGACGGTGGCTGCAGCCCTGCCCTGGGCAGCCTGTTCCAATGCCTGAGCACCCTCTGGGGCAGGAATTGTTCCTCAGCTCCATCTAAACCTGCCCTGGTGCAGCTTGAGGCCGTTTCCTCTTGTCCCATCCCTTGTTCCTTGGCAGCAGAGCCCAGCCCGTCCTGGCTCCATCCTCCTGTCAGGCAGTTGTAGGGAGCCATTAGGTCCCCCCTGAGCCTTCTCTTCTCCCCACTGAACCCCCCAGGTCCCTCAGCCCTTCCCCATCACACTTGTGCTCCAGGCCCTGCACCAGCTCCAGTGCCCTTCTCTGGCCCCTCTCCAGCACCTCAATGTCTCTCTTGTAGTGAGGGGCCCAGCGCTGAACACAGGATTCAAGGTGCAGCCTCACCAGTGCCCAGTGCAATCCCTGCCCTGGCCCTGCTGCCACGCTTGGTGCTGGCACAAGCCACTGTGCTGTTCCTCCTTGGCCACCTGGGCCCGCTATTGGCTCATTCAGCCACTGTCAACCACCCCCCGCCCAGGTCCTTTTTCATGGGCATCTTTCCAGGCCCTCCTCACGCCTGGAGCGCTGCTGTGGTGGTTGTGAACTGAATGCACTGAGCTTTGGTGAATCGAGTCTCACAGTTGTATTTAGTGCCACAGGCAGGTGTGGGGTGGCTGAGGAATCAACTCCACTGGATCCAAGCATCTGTGTCGCACTGGCCTGTGTCCTCGGGGGGGCTTTGTCCCTCTGGAAGCACATGATAACCCCAGAAGTGACTGTGGGTACGCTCAGCCTTATGCCAGCAGAGCTGGGGGGAGCTCCAGGGCCACCTCCTTACCCCCGCTGACACCCGCCATTCCCTCTCTGCCCTCCAGGAGATCGAGTTCATGTACAAGCCAGGGAACGTGAGCAGGGCTCCCCCCGTGGTGGCCCCGCACCAGCCCCGGCTCGACTGGCAGATGTGGTTTGCAGCCCTGGGCCACCACAGCAGCAGCCCCTGGTTCAGCAGCTTCGTGCACCGCCTGCTGCAGGGCCAGGAGGACGGTGAGTGGGGCTGGGGCAGTGCTCTGTGCTCTGGAGACACGGGCTCCAGCCCAGCAGTGCCTCGGGGTGCCCCTGCACCCATGGGTACAGGCTCCCGGCCGCAGCTAACGCCACGTCTCCTGCAGTGATCCGCCTGGTGCAGGTCGATGAGTCCCAGTATCCCTTCAACGCCCGCCCCCCTGTCTACATCCGTGCCCAGCTCTACAAGTACTGGTTCACCAGCAGCGCCGAGGGCAGGTGAGTGGCACCGGACCCCTCTGCACCCGTCTGCACCCTGGATCTGATGTGACACCACATCTGCTTGCAGATGGTACTGTCGCCTGAGTGCCCAGGGGGTGGCGCAGGCTGGATTTGGGATCTACCTGGGATCATTAACTTGCCCTGCAGCTCCTCAGCACCCTGGGCTCTGCCTGGGGGTGTCAGGAGCCACCCACGGCTGTGGGAGGGGCCAGGCAGGGTGCTGAGCTCTCCCACCCCACAGCCACTCGTGGTGGCGTCGGCAGCGGGTGCAGGAGTTCTTCCCCACTGTGTCCCTGGGTGATCCCATGCTGGAGAACCTGCTCAACCAGCACGGGCTCAAGGTAGGACCCCACCCCACAGTCACCCCACGGTCACCCCACAGTCACCCAGTGTCCCCCTGACCTCCTCCTCACCCCCGGCAGGACAAGACCCCGGCAAGGCGCCCACTGGCCACGGTGCTGCCGCGGGTGCTCCAGTCACTGCGCCAGCTCTGCCGCCCGGTGCCCGGCCCCACCATCCTCTGGTCCCTCTACCTGGTGGTGGCCACTGCCTGCCTCCTGCGAGCCCTGCACCACCAGTGCCGGGGGGGGGCACCCCCTGCCTGCCACAAAGGGCCCCGGCGCGGAGACCCTGCGGACAGGGGGGGTGCGGAGAAGAACGGGCACATGCGGAGGAGGGAGCCCCAGGAGAGGGGTGAGAGCCGGGCCTGCGGTGGCCCCGAGGCCTGTGGGGGCGGCCGCCATGGCACCAAGAGGAAGAAGTAGCACCCAGAGCCGCCAGCCTGGGTCTCATCTTCCACCGGTGGACTGAAGGCACCCCAGGGTGCTGCACTAATGCCAGCAACACCGGGTGGCTCCATTGCCTCTGATCCTTGTGCTGCGGCTTCAGGGTGATGCTGGCGCTTGTGGGGTGGGTATTGGCACTGGTGGGGCAATGCCAGGCACTGGTGGGGTCATGCTCGGTGCTGGTGGGAGCAGCTTTGGGCAGCACCAGCCTTTCCAGTTATCCTTCCCAGCCCTTAGCCACCACCAGACCAGTTTGGGTTCTCCCTAGACCAGCTGGGCTGCTCCCCCCCCCCTCGCTGGGCTGCTCCATGCTCCCCCAGTGAGCTCAGCAGGTTCCTATGTTTTCTAAATAAAGCCTTTGACATTCCAGCCCCAGGGCTCTTGCTGGGATTCCTGCCTGGGGAGGAGTCCCCCGTGTGCCTGGGGTGGGGTTGCTCCATGTCTCCCCTATAGTGCAGGTGCCACTGGGCGTGTGCGACAAGCAGGTTTATTGTATGGCCCCAGTGCCCCCCATGGCAAAGGGGCTGTGCCATGGGGCTGGGGTGTGCTGAGAGTCTCAGGGTGGTGCAGTAGGGGTCCCAGTGTGATACCATGGGTCACAGTGGTAGTTCTGGTGTACTATACCGGGGGTCCCACTGCAGCACAGTGAGGTCTCGCTGCAGTATGGTGGGGGTCCCAGTGCATTGTGTCTTTGTGGCAGGGATCCCGGTGCCTTGCCCTGGGGGTCTCAGTGGGGTATGGTGGTGGGGATCCCAATTCAGTGTGGTACTGGGGGTCCTGGCGCAAAGGGGGGACCCGTTTTGGTGCAGTGACAGTCCTGGTGCAGTGGGGGTCCTGGTGTGGTCCCAGCGCTGCCCCCGGGTTGGGGGTGCTCCCAGTGTGCCTCCCCCTCACCAGCAGAGCTCCCCAGGGCAGTACTTGTCGATGAGCGACTGGTAGTAGCTGCGGAGCTGCTGCACGTCAGGCAGCTCCTCCTGCTTCGTGTACAGGTCGAACTTGCTGTGGAGTAGTTCAGTGTGGTCAGTACTGGAGGGGGGGGGGTCACCTGGGGCTGAGCCCCCTCCCAAAGCCCCCTACATCCCCCCCAGTCACGCACTTGAGCTCGCGCACCCAGGGCAGCATGCGAAGGTCCTCCTCGCTGCAGAGGTGCAGGTAGTCCCCGTGTGCGTGCCAGGGGTAGAAGGAGTGGAACCGCACCATGTAGAAGGCCTGAGGGCATGGGGATGGGCACGGAGAGGGAGTGTCAGCTCGGGGTGGGGGGACCATGTGTCCCCCCCATTACTGACCTCCCTTCCCTGCAGCCGCATCCCTCACCTCCTTGGGCAGGGTGAAGTTGTTGAACTTCATGACCCGGTACATGTACTCTGGGGAGCAATGGGGTGCAGCGATGGGGCCGAGCACCCCAAGAGCTGCACCCCCCAGCAAAGGTGCTGCAGGCCTGAATCCCTGGGAAAGAGGGGGGTCCGGGTGCCCTGTTTGTGGGTGAGGGACCCCCTGCTTCCCCTCTCATCCCTTACCATCGTGTCCCCAGGACATGAGGACATTCTCCAGGCCGCAGCGGGGCTGGTACATCCCGTACTCAGTGCTGGGGATGGAGCCAGGTTGGGGGGCTCAGGGTTGGTGCCTTCACCCCCCCACCCAGGTAGTGATGTGGGGTGCAATGAGGGGTGTAACGTTGGGTGCAGCCCTCAGCAGCCACCTCACCTGTACCGGGGGTCCTTGGTGTCGGGGTTGTTGTGGAAGGTGGAGTCTCCAAACACCACTGACTTCTGCACTTTGCAGCCCACGGGGAAGGTGTCCCCCACCACGGCCCACTGCGGGGGTGCATGGGGGTCTCTGACCACCGGGACGCCCCTGGATCCCCTCCTGCCCCCCAGTCCGTCCCCCCCACTCACCTGGGGTTCCCCAAACAGCGCCAGCACCTTGCCCAGGTCGTGCAGCAGCCCCACGAGGTGGAACCAGTCTGGGGGTGAGCGGGGCTGTTACCCCCAATGGATGTGACCCCGGGGGGGGGGGGGGTGTTTGGGGGTGCGGGAACCCCCCAGCTTTACCTTTGTCAGGGTGGGCCTTGCGGATGCCCTCTGCTGTCTGGTAGGCATGGAAGGAGTTGGGGAAGTCCACGTCTGGGTCGGACTCATCCACCAGCTCATCCAGCAGCTCCAGGGCCTCCATCACAGTCATGCGGCGCTGTGAGCACGGCCCGTACTGCGCACACTGTGTGTGTGGGGGGATGCAATGGGGTTTTTGGGGACAGGGTCCCCCACAACCTGCGCCGGGACCCCAACACCCCCGACCCCCATTGCAGTGCGCAGGGAGTGGGTGCCCCAGTGCATGGGCTGGACTTGGGGTGCTGGGGGGGTTCACACCTTCTTGCGCACGAAGTCCACGGTCTGGTGTGTGTGCATGAGCCGGTACGTGTTGTACACCCGCTCCAGCAGCTTCCCCTCCTGTGTGCAGTGCGGGAGGGGGGGTCTAGGGTGTGGGGACACCCCCCAACAGAGCACAGCACCCCTGGACTCCCACAGCAGTGCATGAGACCCCCCTGGCTTGGATATGGGGGTTGCAGCTGGATCCCCCCTGCACCCTGCTTGTGCAGGGACCCCCCATAATGACCGCCCTGGTGCAGGCACCCCCCCAAACTGCCCAACTGGTGCAGGAGAACCCCCCAGTGACCCATCCAGTGATGGGGACCCCCTGACCCCCCCCTCACCGTGTAGTTGCGGTACTGGTGCCGGGGCTCGGCCGTGCTGGGGGGCAGCTCCTCAGGGCAGTTGGATTCCTGGGGAGGGGAAAGGGCTGCTCAGGGTGTGGGGGGCCCTTCCTGTGCTGCTGGTGGCATGGGGGGACCCAAGGGTGCTGCATGGGACTGCATGGGACTGCATGGCATCGCATGGTGCTGCGCAGCCCTGCGCCATGTGTCACAGCATTGCAAGGCTCTTGGGTGCAGCTGAACCCCAGGGTGCTGCCCAACGCCCCACGTGTCCTGCACCCCCCAGGGGTGGGAGGCAGGCCCCAAGGACTGTGGGACCCCCATTTTGCCCCGGCCGGTCACTTGGCTGGAACCCACTTGGGGGTTGGCACCCCATGGCAGGGAGGATACAGCCGTGGGTCCTGGGGGCTCCTCCACCCCTCAAAAGGCACCAGCCCTGGGGTAGGGGCCCCTGGGGCTGCTGCCTGTGGCATGGGTCCCATGGGGGTGACACTTGTGGGGCTGAGCCCCCGGGGGGGGGGGGGGGGGGGGGGCGAGGGGGTCTTCCCGGGTGTGGGGGGAGTGCAGGGGGGCGATGTCCCCCGGGTGTGGGGCAGTGCAGGGAAGGGGGGGGCTCTGTCCTCCGTGTGTGGGGCAGTGCAGGGGAGGCTCTGTTCCCCGTGTGTGGGGCAGTGCAAGGGGGGCTCTGTTCCCCATGAGTGGGGCAGTGCAGGGAAGGGGGGGGCTCTGTCCACGTGTGGGGCAGTGCAGGGGAAGCTCTGTTCCCTGTGTGTGGGGCAGTGCAGGGGGAGCTCTGTCCTCCACGTGTGGGGCAGTGCAGGGGGGGCTCTGACCCCCGTGTGTGGGGCAGTGCAGGGGGAGCTCTGTCCTCCACGTGTGGGGCAGTGCAGGGGGGGCTCTGTTCCCCATGAGTGGGGCAGTGCAGGGAAGGGGGGGGCTCTGTTCCCCGTGTGTGGGGCAGTGCAGGGGGAGCTCTGTCCTCCACGTGTGGGGCAGTGCAGGGGGGGCTCTGACCCCCGTGTGTGGGGCAGTGCAGGGGGGGCTCTGACCCCCGTGTGTGGGGCAGTGCAGGGGGGTTCTGGCCCCCCATGCATGGGGCAATGTGGGTCTGTACTCACCACCCGTTGGCTGCTCATGGCGGCGGGGCTGTGGGTGCTCGGCTCTGGCCCTGCTCGGCCCCCCCCCGGCTTTATCCCCGCGGGACAATGGGTCACCAGTTAACCCTTGTTAATGGTTCAACTGGGGCAGGGGCCGGGCCTGGGCTGGGCAGCCCCGAGCAGGGACCTCAAGCCCCAACCCCAAACCCTGACCCCCAGCAGGGACCCCCAAGTTGGGACCCCCCGGCGATGGGGCGGCCCTGGGGCTGCCTATGGGGAGCAGACGGGCTGCAGTGTGACCCTGATGGGGACGGGGGAGCAGGACTTGGCCTGCACCCTGGGGCGCAGTGAGGGGCTGGGGGGGCTGTGCGGAGCAGGCTGGGGGCAGGACCCAGCAGGCAGCTGCCAATGGGGCTGGGGATGTCATGGGGGACACGGCCCCTCTGGGGGCACACGGACATGCCAGACCATGGGCATGCGGCTGGGGCATGGCGTGACACACACCATATACATGGGGTGACACGCTGTGTGCATGGGGTGACATAAACCATGTGCATGGAGTGAGACACTGTGTGCATGGGGTGACACACACCGTATACATGGGGTGACACACTGTGTGCATGGGGTGACACACACCATATACATAGGGTGACACGCTGTGTGCATGGGGTGACATAAACCATATGCATGGAGTGAGACACTGTGTGCATGGGGTGACACACACCGTATACATGGGGTGACACGCTGTGTGCATGGGGTGACATAAACCATGTGCATGGGGTGACACACACCGTATACATGGGGTGACACGCTGTGTGCATGGGGTGACACACACCATGTGCATGGGGTGACACACTGTGTGCATGGGGTGACACACACCGTATACATGGGGTGACACACTGTGTGCATGGTGTGACACACACCATATACATGGGGTGACACGCTGTGTGCATGGGGTGACATAAACCATGTGCATGGAGTGACACACTGTGTGCATGGGGTGACACACACCGTATACATGGGGTGACACGCTGTGTGCATGGGGTGACACACTGTGTTCATGGGATGACACACACTGTGTGCATGGGGTGACACACCGTGTGCATGGGGTGACACACTGTGTTCATGGGATGACACACACCATGTGCATGGAGTGACACACTGTGTGCATGGGGTGACACGCTGTGCTCATGGGGTGACACGCTGTGTTCATGGGGTGACACACACCATATACATGGATTGATACACACTGTTGGCTGTCCCACTGCCTGGGGACCATAGTGTCCCCCACCCCCCTCCATGCCCCATTCCCATGGGATTCCCAAGCCAGGACCCCTCCTCACACCCTTTATTCTGCACAGCGTCAGAGGCACCCATGGGTGGGTGGCTGAGGGCTGGGGGGGGATGCTCAGTGGGAGCGGGGTGCTCATGGGGTGTCACAGCATGGGGTGGCAGGGACACCGGGGTCCCCTCATGTCTGGGGGCCACCACTGAGCCCGGGGGGGGGCCCAACGTGTCAGCAGTGGAGCTGGAACCATCGCCCATGTCCACACCATGGCACCAGGGGTGGCGATGGCAATGGGGTGACACCCCCAGCACCCCCCAGCACCTGGTCCCAGTCTCAGCACGTGGGGCGCAGGGTGCTGGGGAAGGGGACAGCACCTTTCCAAGGACGGGACCAGGTGCTGCTCTCCATGGCACCCAGCAGGGGGAAGGGACCTCCATGGTGCTGAGCCCGCTCTGGTACCAGCCCCTCGGCTGGGACAATGGGGTCCCCCCGTGCAGGACCCGTGTGCTGTACGTGGGGCTCGCTGAGGATGAAGGGGGTGCCACGGGGTGCTGTGGAGTGCCATAGGGACGTCATGGGGTGCCATAAGGGTGCCATAGGAGTGCCATGGGGTGCTGCAGCAGGCTCCCCCCCTCCCTCCCCCCCCACCATGGCAGGGTGCTGAGGTGCTGAGTCAGCAGCTGCTGCTCTTGCACAAGGCTGCTGTGGTCAGCAGGATCCTTGGTGCCCCTTGGACCCGATGTCACCAGCCCTGGATGGGCCACCACGGGCCACTGCTACCACTATGGGCTATCATGGGCCACTGCTGCCACCACGGGCCGCTGCTGTCACCATGGGCCACCAGCTTCATGTCCTCTCCGCTCCATGGGGTTGCTGTTGGCGATGGGATGGGAGCTCCCCATGGGGATGCTCCTTGGCCCCCACAGGTGTGCAGAGGCAGCTCAGCCACGCGTGACTCTGGAAGTGCTTTAGTGGAGATGCGGGGGGGGGCAGCGGGCGAGGGCCGGGGGTCCCCATCACCCGTAGCTGTGGGGGCTGTGGGGGTTCATGGGGGACAAGTCCTGGCGCCCCAACTGTCCCCGCAGCTGCCAGAGCCGGTGGCTCAGGTTCTGCACCTGGCACGTGCCCAGCACGCAGCCCACGCGCAGCAGCTGCGTGTGCCGCCGGCCACGCGTGTGCCGCTGCCTGTGCCGCGACGCGTGTGCCGGGGGGGGCCACGGCGCGGGCAGCCGGTGCCGGGCAGTGCCGGAAGCATGCGGCACAGCAGGGTCCACAAAGGGGGACAGCAGGGACGGGATCCGGTCCGGGGGCTCCCTGCAAGAGAGAGACAGCGTCAGTGCGGTGGGACGGGGTGATGTGTGGTGGGAAGCTGCTCAGGGAAAGGGACCTGAGGACAGGGCTGGTCAATGGCTGGAGATGGGCAGCTTGTGCCCAGGCAGCCAGGAAGCCCCCAGCGTCCTGGCCTGGATCAGCACCAGTGCGGCAGCAGGGCCAGGGCAGGGATTGTGCCCCTGTGTTGGGCACTGGTGAGGCCGCACCTCGAATCCTGTGTTCAGCTCTGGGCCCCTCACTGCAAGAGAGACATTGAGGTGCTGGAGCGGGGCCAGAGCAGGGCACTGGAGCTGGTGCAGGGCCTGGAGCACAAGTGTGATGGGGAAGGGCTGAGGCACCTGGGGGGTTCAGTGTGGAGAAGAGAAGGCTCAGGGGGGACCTGATGGCTCCCTACAAGTGCCTGAGAGGAGGATGGAGCCAGGAGGGGCTGGGCTCTGCTCCCAAGGAACAAGGGATGGGACAAGAGGAAACGGCCTCAAGCTGCACCAGGGCAGGTTTAGATGGAGCTGAGGAACAATTCCTGCCCCAGAGGGTGCTCAGGCATTGGAACAGGCTGCCCAGGGCAGGGCTGCAGTCACCGGCCCTGCAAGGGTTCACACAGCGTGGAGACGAGGCCTCAGTGCCATGGGGCAGTGGTGGCCTTGGCAGTGCTGGGGTAAGGTTGGACTGGGTGAGCTTAAAGGGCTTTTCCCACCCGGCTGATGCCATGATCGATGGTTCTATGGGCCCAGACCTCTTCCTTGCCCTGGGCCAGGAGCAGGACGAGAGGATGAGGAGCAGCACCGGGGCAGAGGAGCTGCCCCAAGCACCAACACACGTGTCCATGCTCCGGTGCCACAGCAACTTGGCACGAGCTGCTCCTCCCTCCACACACCCGCACACACATGGCCAAGCACACACACACTGCATGACCCCTGTACACATGCAGGCACACATGGTCCCTGCACACATGCACATCCCATGACCCCTGCACACACGCAGCACATGCGTGTCAGGGCCGGACGCCGCGTTCCATGGGGCCAGAGGCCACATTCCTTTGGCGCTGCGGCTCAGGAAGCTCCCGAGGCCATTCCCAGCTCCTGCTGCCCATTCCCGTTCTATTCGCGTCCTGTTCCCATTCTGGAAGCTCCAGCAGCCTCCCTGTGTCTTGGAGCCAAGCTCCAGTGCCAGCATCCCATGGGATCAGTGCCAGCATCCCATGGGATCGCCGCTGGCTGTGGGGTTCCCCTCCTGCCCCAGCACATGGGATCTGCCCTGGCACATGGGATTGCTTCTGCTCCCATTCCTGGGCCACATCCCAGCGCTTTATGGGTGTTACCGGGCGCACCGTGGGGCACCCCCCAACCCCGGGACCCCACAGCTCCCACATGTGCCTCCTGCCCCCTTCCCACTGCTGCTCGCAGCATTCCCATGGACTTGGCACCAGCACAGAGCTGGACTCACGGTCCCCACTGCTGGTACCTGCTGCTGGGGTCCCCACAACAGGGTCCCCATGTCCTCAGGACCCCAATGTCTCAGGTACCCCTTGTCTTGGGGACCCCCATCCCCAGCACACGGAGCTGTGGCCACACCATCCTGATCTCCCAGTCCATGCCCAGGATTTGGGGTGCCTGTGTTCCCCCCATCCATTCCCACTGTGGGATGGGTGTCCCATGTCCCCCCCAAGGTGCTGCAGCACTGGAATGGGTCCCCCTCAACCCACGCTCCCCCCCCCCACCGCATTGGTCGGGCCGATCCCTGCGGATCTGGGCATGGAGCAGGCACATCCCAATCCCAGCCCGCTCCTCAAGCAGCAACACGCACCCGCGCGGCCGTGCACGCACACACGCACGCAGCCCCGGCACACGCGTGTACACGCATGTTCCTCCTGCGGCTGGAGCCCAGCCCCTCGCCTGGCACACGCCTGGCACACACACACATACACACACACACACGGTCCTCATCACCCCGCACACGCGTGTGCCCTGCGTGCCCTGTGCGCACACAGTCTCAGGGACCTCCGTGGCACATGCCCCCCCCCCCCACGCCTGTCACCCCCGTGTCCCCATAGGGACAGGCATGGGGCAGGCGGTGACGGCAGGTTTGGGTTCTGGGACCCCTCAGTGCCCACCTCTCTGGGGGTGATGGGCAGCGGAACACAGGCACGGGACACGCACACAATGGGCAGACTGGGCCCTGCCCCAGCCCTGTGGCTGGCAGGACAGGCGGACATGGGCTGGGGCAGGAGCTGGGCTCTTGGGGATAGATAGGGGGGCACAGGAGCACCCCAGACAGGGGTCCCAGACAGGGGGGGCACAGATTTGCCCCATGCAAAGGGCCCCTGCCCGTACCTGCATTAGGGGGAGGGCAGGGAGGGTGAGCAGGGGGTTACAGAGATGCCCCATACAGGGGGCGGGCAGGAGGGTGGGCAGGGGGGACACAGAGACACCCCAGGTGGGAGGGGGGTGGACAGGGGCTAAAGAGATGCTCCACACAGGGGGCTCCTTGCTACACCTACCTGGGGTGGGCAGGCAGGGGGGGGCTCAGAGCTGCCCCACGCTCATACCTGTGTATGGGGGACAGGCAGGGGGGTCACAGAGCTGCCCCATACAGGGGATGGGCAGGGGGCACAGAGCCACTGCATGGAGAGGGCTCCTTGCTACACCTGTGCGGGTGGGGGGCACAGAGACACCGCACACAGGGGAGTGCGGGCAGGGGAGGAGCGGGATGGAGGGTGCGGGCAGGGGGGTTTGGGAGGGGGGGTGCGGGATGAGGGGTTGCGGGTGGAGGGGTCCGGTCTCACCTGCGCCTGTGCGCTCGGCCGTGGGGCCGGGGCAGGCCGGCGGGCAGCTCCAGCACACACAGCACTAAGCTGATGCAACCCAGCGCCACCGGCACCGGGGCTCTCATGGCGGGGCCGGGCCGGCGGTGGCTCCGGGGCTGCAGAAAGGGGAGAGCGGTAAGCGGCTGGGCCCGGCTCCGGCAGCCCCCGTACCCCCCCCGGTGCCACCCGGCGCCTCCCGCTGGCCCCTGCTGCCGCCGGTTGCTCCCCGGTGCCTCCTGCTGTCTCGCTGGTGCTTCCCGATGTTTCCCGGTACCCCCCGCCCGTTGCCTCCCGGTGCCCTCCGGTCGCCTCCCTGTTGCCGTCGGCGCCGCCCGTCCCGTCCCGTCCCGTCCCGTCCCGTCCCGCCCCGTGATGTCCCGTAGCCCGTGGGGCGATGCGGAGTCCCGGAGGGGTCCCGGGGGGGGGGTCCCGTCGGTACCTGTGCGGGTGCCGGGGCTGGGGACCGGGGGCTCTGGGGGTTCCGAGGGGGCTCGGGTGGGTCCGGGGGCTCCCGGGTGCCGGTGTCCGGGGCCGTCGCTGGGGCCGCCGCTCCCCGGCCCAGGTTAAATATCGCCGGGCTCGGCGCGGCCACGGGCGAGGAGGAGCCGCCGGCGCGGGAGGAGCCACGGGCGGGGGCAGCCCCAGCGACCCGCACCGGAACCAGGCACCGGCACCGGCCCGGCAGGAGTGGGACGGGACGGGACGTGGGGGGGGAACGGGATGGGATGGGGCTGGGATAGGATGGAAAGGGACCGGGCCATGTCCTCGGCCGCTGGGATGGGACGGGACTGGGGGAGATGTCCTGGGAGGGACGAAGGGGATGGGGATGGGACGGGGCCGGGACATGTCCGGGGAAAGATGGGATATGGTCAGGACATATCCTGGGAAAGGGGAATGGGATGGGACTGGAGGAGCTGTTCTGGGAGGGGGAAATGGGATGGGATCGGACTGGGAGGTTGAATAGGATGGAACTGGAATGGGATAGGAGAGCAGTCCTGGGGGTCTGGGGCGGTATTGAACAGGACAGGGACATGTCCTGGGGGAGCTGGGATGTGTTTGGGACACGTCCTGGGGAGGACTGGAAAGGGCTGGAGCATGTCCGGGGGCTTAAATGGGGGGGGAGATGGGATGGGATAGGGCTGGGGAGTGGTCGGGGAGGGGAAATGGGTTGGGATGAGGCCGGGCCATGTCCTGGGAGAGCTGGGATGGAGCAGAGATGGGAGGAGGGACCCATCCGGGTGATGCCCGCGCTGCAAGGACGGGACGAGGCCCCCGCAGCACCGCAGGGTGCCCGAGCCGGGGCCCGCCCCCTCCGGGCTCCGCGCTCTCGGAATCGCCGGGATCTTCCGCTTGATCCCGACACAAAAGCTCCGGGCGCGGGCCGGGGTTTGGGGCAGCCCCTGATGGGGTGGGGAGGGGGGGGCACAGATCCCCCTATGTGGGACGCGGGTTCTGGCTCTTCCGACCCCTTCCCAGAGGGAATTTCTGCGGCATTCCCGGTCCTTCCGTTTGGTTGTTGCTGGATTATTCCCAACGAGAGAGAGAAACCGGCACAAACCCAACGGGCTGAGCAGGAACAGGAGCAAGAACAGGAGCAGGAGCAGGAATGGTTGCAGGAGCAGGAAGAGGAGCAGGAGCACTGGGAGCTGCCATAGAATCATAGAATAGTTAGGGTTGGAAAGGACCTTAAGATCATCTAGTTCCAACCCCCTGCCATGGGCAGGGACACCTCACACTAAACCATGGCACCCAAGGCTCTATCCAACCTGGCCTGGAACACCACCAGGGATGGAGCATTCACAGCTTCCATGGGCAACCCATTCCAGTGCCTCACCACCCTCACAGGAAAGAACTTCTTCCTTATATCTAACCTGAACTTCCCCTGTTTAAGTTTTAACCCGTTCCCCCTTGTCCTATCACTACAGTCCCCAGTGAAGGGTGCCTCCCCAGCATCCCTATAGGCCCCCTTCAGATACTGGAAGGCTGCTATGAGGTCTCCACGCAGCCTTCTCTTCTCCAGGCTGAACAGCCCCAACTTTCTCAGCCTGTCTTCATACAGGAGGTGCTCCAGTCCCTGATCATCCTCGTGGCCTCCTCTGGACTTGTTCCAACAGTTCCATGTCCTTTTTATGTTGAGGACACCAGAACTGCACACAATGCTCCAGGTGAGGTCTCACAAGAGCAGAGCAGAGGGGCAGGATCACCTCCTTGGACCTGCTGGTCACGCTCCTCTTGATGCAGCCCAGGATACGGTTGCTTTCTGGGCTGTGAGTGCACACTGAAGCCGGCTCATGTTCATTTTCTCATCGACCAACACCCCCAAGTCCTTCTCCTTGGGCTGCTCTGAATCTCTTCTCTGCCCAACCTGTAGCTGTGCCTGGGATTGCTCCAACCCAGGTGTATGTGCCTTCACCCCCCAGGGTGTCCATCCCTGTGCCCATCGCTGTGTCCCTGCAGCACTCCCAGAGCTCTCCTGCCCTCTGTGGCACCAATGGGGACACTTGGGAACATCAGCTCCCAGCGCATGCAGCGGCTCTGCCCAAGGGCTCAGACCCAGCCGAGGGGACGGTGCCAGGTGACCGGGGACGCCCCAGGACACGCGGCTCATGCACGTCTGCGGGTGCTGGATCCGTGTCCATCCACAGGAACACGGTGGTGGAGCCGTTGGGGTACGCTCGGCACCGTGCCATGGGCACGGCAAACAGCAGGGAACGGCTGGGAGAGAGGAGGGACGTGCCCTCCGGCCCTGCAAGCACAGGGGGAGGAGAGGGGCACAGTGTCCTCAGGGTCCCCAGAAATCCCCCAGTTTCCAGCATCCCCAGTGTCCTCAGGCTTCCCAGTGTTCTCAGCATCCACACGGTCCCCAGTGTCCCCAAAGTCTGCAGCATTCCCAGTGTCTCCAGTATTCCCAGCATCCCCAGCATCTCCAGTATGCCCAGTGTCCCCAGCATCTGCAGTGTCCTCACGGTCCCCAGTATCCCCAGGGTCCCCATTGTCAAGGATGGACCTGGAGCCCCAGGGATGCAGGGAAGAAGGGACACAGGGATTCAGGGAAACAGGGATGCAAAGACTCAGGAATGCAGGGATGCGGGGATAGAGGGACACAGGGGAGCAGGGATACATGGACACAAGTACACAGCACTGGCACATGGGATTGGGGGACATGATGACGCTGGCCACCCGCTGCCCCAGCACTGTGGGACCAGTGTCCCCACTGCAGCCACAGCCATGAACTGGTGACACTGGGAAACAGGCAAGGGGGGCCTATTGGAGCCCCCACCATGAACCAGTGTAGATCCTGGTTTACACGTCAGGGGCCGTGTCTGGTGACTTGAGGTGCTCCCTCCTCCACACCCCGCCCATGTCCCAGTCCCTTGTGGGAGTGTGAATGAGGAGTTCCTGCCATGAATCATTCCCTGCTCTGGCTGAGCCAACATGGAATGGGTGCAGAAGGGTGCCGGGCCTTCACCAGGACCAAGCATGGGCAGGCCATGGACCGTGGTGCTCTGGTGTGTGGTGCTGGATGAGGTGGGGCAAGGCAGAAAGGGATGGTGAGGAGATGGGGATAGGGATGGGATTGGAATGGGAATAGGGATGAGGATGTGATAGGGATGGGATGGTGAGGGGATGGGGATAGGGTTGGAGATGGGAATAGTGATGGGATTGGGCTGGGGATGAGGATGGGATTGAGGATGGGATTGGGATGGGGATAGGGATGAGGATGGGATAAGGATGGGATGGTGAGGGGATGGTGATAGGGTTGGAGATGGGAATAGTGATGGGATTGGGATGGGGATGGGGATGAGGATGGGATTGGGATGGGGATAGGGATGAGGATGGGATGGGGATGGGGATAGGGATGAGGATGGGATGGGGATGGGATGTGATGGGGATGGGGACAGGGATGGGATGGGGCGATCACACTGCAAGCGATCTATGTGGGATCGACACCGTTTCCTCCTGGAGCCCCCAAACCCCACAGCATCCCCCCCCACCAGTGGGGTGCGTGAGACCCAGCCTCCCACGCGTGCCCCGGCACCCAACGGGACGGGGTCACCACTGCCCAGGGACCCGGTGCGTGCTCTCCCAGCGGGTGGGGGCCGTGTGTAACGGAGGGGGGGGGGGGGCACCCGCACAAGCGGGTCCGTGCACGCGCCCGCCCCGCCCCCCCCTGCCGCGGCCCTCGCTCACATCCCCCCCCCCCCCCCCGCGCTCACGGAGCGGCTCCCCGCGCACCGCGGGGGTCCCGCGCACCGGCGCCGCCGTGGCCCCGCCCCTTCCCCTCTCTCCCAATCAGCAGCCTCGCCCCGCCCCTCCCCGCGGGGATGACGCATGCGCGGTGGATTGGCCGTGAGAGGGGGGCCAAGATGGCGGCGGTCGGCGGGGCGCACGGGCGGGCGGGGCGCGGGGCGGTGGCGGCGGGGCCGTGACCCCCGGTGACCCCCCCCCCCCGGGTGACCCCGCGGTGACCCCCGCGGTGACCCCGCCATGGCCCGCCTGGCCGACTACTTCGTCCTCGTGGGATACGACCCCGGCAAGCGCGGTGAGCCCGGGGCCGGGATGGGGCTGGGGTACGGAGCACGGGCACCCACACCGGGCACGGGCCCGCTCGGCCCCGGGGCGCGACAACAGCCCGGGGTGCGCGCCGCGCTCCAGCGACGTGGCGGGGACTCCGGAGGGGGGGAGCGCGGCCGGGACCGGCGGCGGCACCGAGGGGGATGGAGCCCCGCAGCGGCCGCTGCCCCAAGGCCTTTCCCGGGCGCGGTTCCGCAGGCACCGGGCAGGGCGCAGGCCGCGGCACCGGGCTCCCCCCGCCCCTGCGCCGGGAAGCGCCACACGGGTCCTGCAGGCCTCGGCCCTGCCGCGGAGCCGCGGTTCGTTGTGCGGGACCGGTTTTGGTTGGGTTTCGGGGCTGTGTCCGTGATGTTCCCCCCGGCCCCGCGGGTTGGGGCACAGCGGCGCTGTCAGTGAGAGAGGGGGAGTGCGCCTGGAGCAGGGGTATCCCGGTGGATCCCCACCGAGAGCATCCAGGCTGGAACCGCGGAGGGGTTTGTTTTGGAAGGGACCTTAAAGCTCCTCCAGCTCCAACCCCTGCCACGGGCAGGGACCCCTTCCACTAGAGCAGGGTGCTCCAAGCCCCTGTGTCCAGCCTGGCCTTGAACACTGCCAGGGATGGGGCAGCCACAGCTTCTCTGGGCACCCTGGGCCAGCGCCTCAGCACCCTCACAGGGAAGAGCTTCTGCCTAAGAGCTCATCTCAGTCTCCCCTCGGGCGGGTTAAAGCCATTCCCCTTGTCCTGTCCCTACAGGCCCTTGTCCAAACCCCTCTCCAGCTTTCCTGCAGCCCCTTCAGGCACTGGAGCTGCTCTCAGGTCTCCCCTTCAGGAGCCTTCTCTTCTCCAGGCTGACCCAGCCCAGCTCTCTCAGCCTGGCTCCAGAGCAGAGCTGCACCAGCCCTCGCAGCATCTCTGTGGCCTCCTCTGGCCTCACTCCAGCAGCTCCACGTCCCTCTTGTGCTGCTGCCCCAGAGCTGGACTCGGTGCCCAACCTGCTCATTCACAGATGCTGGTGCCTGGGTGGTTCTTAGCCTGCGCTGGAGCCAGGGATGGGGAATCCTTCCCCACCCACCCGT